TTTTGGTCTACGATGAATTTTTTTATTTGTTTTATTTTCTTATTTTTATTATTTTTTTTTAGTTATTCCTCGTTTATTGGAGACGTGTATCATTGGAAGGGTGTGTGTGTGTGTGTGTGTGTGTGTGTGTGTGTGTGTGTGTGTGTTGTGTGTGTGTGTGTGTGTGTGTTGTGCGTGTGTGTGTGTGTGTGTGTGTGTGTGTACGTGCGAAACCATGCCCTTCGGATACTTTTCGCCTTATATATATATATATTTTTTTATGCCCCTATTGCCCTATGGTAGAAAGAGGGGGCATATAGCCATTATTTTATTGGTTTAATTAATTTAATTCACGTAATTGATGTTAATAATAATAAAAACTTCTATAACTTTATCATTTAGGCATCAATTTGTATTCTGTTCAGAGATTATTCAAGTGAAATGTAATTGGTCCAAATCCTGACCAAACACCGAGAGCTGATTGGATGGAAATACAGCCATATTTACTGTGATTGGCTGACACTCACGCGCCATTGCCGGTATTACATTTTAAACTAAGTTAAATGAAATACACAGACTAGGTTTGATTTTTTACTTAGTTTCCCAGCTAAATTATTACCTAACCTAACGTAACCTTACCTATACGACACAAGCTTCAACAATTAATGGAGACAGTAAGCAAAGGTTCGATACACACACACACACACACACACACACCCAGAGACCTTAACTAACTGTGTGTGTGTGTGTAATAATAATAATAATTAACGGTTTGTTAAGAGCAGCGTAGAGGCTGAAATATACAGTTACATATTTGGGGAATGTAGGTTACGAATTACAATATTATACAAAATTAACATAAGTGACACAAATAAGACATATAATAACCCCAATTGAGGATAAAGCTCAAACTACAGTTCATTTCAACATGGTATTGTTGACAGTGTAGGGGCAGTGTTTACTAGGAGTGGAATACACTGATTTATTACAAGGATTGATAATTTTTTAATGGTTGGGACTGGGCTGTTCTTATAGCGATCAGTTCGTGCGTATGGGCTGGATGCGGTTGTGGTGTCGAACAGCAATTCTCTCGGACAAGGATCTCCAGTGGTAGTAGGGCGGTGTCGGGGATGGTGTAAGCTTCTTACCAGAATTGCAAGATGAGGTCGTGGTGATGGTCGGTGAGAGTCAGGTCCAGTGTGTTGAGCCTTCTTGATATGTGGAGTAGGAGAGGGAAGAATAATCTTGCATGCCCTCTTTTCTGGGTGTTTACGTTGTGTGGCATTTGAGACCAGGTGGGGGAGGCATGGAGTGAGCTTGGGAAGTATGAATGTTGTGTAAACAAGGGAGCTCTCGCAGGAACTCCGAGGACTTGAGTCAGCGGAGAGTGGAGACGGAAACTGGAGGGATTTGACAACTTCACTGACGTGTGGGTGTGTGTGTGTGTGTGTGTGTGTGTGTGTGTGTGTGTGTGTGTGTGTGTGTGTGTGCAGCATCTAGTTTAGCTCACTTACGCTACAGCACAGAGGTGATGGGGGTAAGTAGTTTCGAAAATTGCATCGTAATTAGCGGAGAAAAGCGAGTAAACGAGTGACTGTATGCCTATGACTATCTAGGCCTATGGTACTTAAAATTATTGTCTGTAGTGAAGATGTTGAGTGTATAATGTGTAATTACTGTATAATTTAGGGAATAATGTGATCTTATTCGTAGTGTTTGTTTATTTGTTTACCTCTATTGTTTGTTTACCTGTTTACCTGTATGATCTGGGGACGTGTTGACTCTCTGAGGGATGAGTTATGTATTTATTAAAACTATGAATATTTTAGGTGTCCGAGTGAAGTGTGTAAGCTATTGAACCTAACATCCACACTCCCACATCTCCCATCTCCCGCATCTCCCACATCTCCGCATCTCCCGCATCTCCACCACCTTCACATCTCCACATCTCACACCTCCACACCCCGCACCTTCCGCATCTCACATCTCCACCTTCACCTCCACCTCCACACCTCCCTTTTTACCTCCCACACCCCGCACCCCCCGCACCAGAGGTAGAAAGTGTCGAAGTAATAAAATTTTACTGATTAATTACATACCTGTGTCGTAGCTCAGGGGGGGGTGGGGGGGGTATTAGGTCTCATGGTCGTAAATACGTTCGTAAAGATGGGATTTACCCCTTTATCCCAGAGGTCGTTAAGGGCAACATAAATATATACGTCTGTGTTTACTTCCTTCTGATGAACAAAAAACAACAAAAACAACAAATAAATAGAAATAAGTAAAAAAATAATAAAGGAAAGTTTGAGTAATTTTGTTGCCATTTAAAAATTATCGTAAGGTTTGTTTCTGAATACAGGTGTCAGGGATGCCAACCTAACTACTGTACACACCTCCTGCTCCTCTTCCTCCTCCTCTTCATCCTCTTCCTCTTCTTCCTCCTCCTCCTTCATCCTCCTCTTCCTCTTCCTCCTCCTCCTCTTCCTCCTGCTCCTCCTCCTCCTCCTACCGAAGTCTGTTGTTGGTGCATTACTAAGTCTCGGGTGTTCGCCTCAGGGCTACAGGGAGGAGAGGGGGTAGGAGGGAGTAGGAGGAGGGGTGGAAGGGAGGGAAGGGAGTGGAAGGGGAGGAGAAAGGGCAGTTGGAGGTAGGGGGTAGAAGGAGGAGGGGTCAAGTAAAGAAGAATGGGGGAAGGGGAGGGAGGGAGGGGAGGAGGGAGGAGGGAGGAGGGGGAGGAAGGGGGAGGGGAGGGAGGAGGGAGGGAGGAGGAGGATGTGTTTTAATATGTGTTGTTGTTATTGTTGCTGCTGGTGCTGGTGATGTGTATATAGGGATGTGTATTGTACTATTAATTATAACATGTGTGGTGATGTGTGTGTCTTTTGGGGGAACGAGAAGGGTGTGTGTGTGTGTGTGTGTGTGTGTGTGTGTGTGTGTGTGTGTGTGTGTGTGTGTGTGTGTGTGTGGATGGTAGACATGACGTATATAACTCTCTCTCTCTCTCTCTTCCTTCCCTCTCTCTCTCTCTCTCTCTACTTCCCTTCACCCCCTCCCTTCTCCATCAGCCCTCCACCACCCCTCACTTCCCCTCTTCTCCCCTCCCACCCCTCACCCTCTCTCCCCCTCACCTATCATCCTCTTGACCAACAGACTCTCTCCACTCAACCTACTTCCCCTCACCCCGTTTCCCCTCTCCCTTTTCCCCTTCAACTAACTCTCCCAGCGTCTACCCCCGTCCTCACCCTCCACCTTCCCTCTCCCTCACCCCTCCACCCTCCCCTCTCCCTCTCTCCCTCCCCCACTCCCTCCTCTCCCCTCTCTCCCTCCCCACTCCTCCCCTCTCTGGATGGTGTCACTCCCCCTCGGCACAATCGCCACCTCCCTCAAGTCTTAACTCGATTTAAAAGCTTTGAACGTATCAAGAGTTGGTTTATTGAAGGATTGGGTGGGTTGGTTTAAGGATTGGAGTAGGTTGTTTAGTTGGTAGATTGTTTAGTTGGTCTGGTTGGTTTAGGTTGTGGTTTTTGGTCATAGGTTGGTTTAGGGATTGGAGTAGATTGGTTTAAGGGATTGGAGTAGGTTGGTTTAAGGGATTGGAGTAGATTGGTTTAAGGGATTGGAGTGGGTTGGTTTAAGGTATTGGAGTCCAGGTAGATTGGTATTAAGGTAATTAAGTACAGGCACAGGTAGATTGATTTAAACTAAAACTAGACTAATTAAAAGTATCAGACAATGAGAAAGTATAAAAATTAAATCAAAGTATATAAAAAGTATATAGACATCACTGAAAGGCTCCTCAGGGTAATAAATCTTACTTTTATTTAAATAAGGAAAATATAACACCAAAGAGAGCCATTAAAAAAAGAGCTAATTTGCATACTTGATTATATTGCTGTTGGGGTAAATTAATAAACAAAGTGAGTTATATAATTATGGTATATTTATTAGAGAGGAAGTGTTTAAAGGAAGGTGTATGTATGTATGTATGTATGTATGTATGTATGTTATGTATGTATGTATGTATGGTATGTATGTATGTATGTATGTATGTATGTATGTATGTATGTATGTATGTATGTATGTATGTATGTTATGTATGTATGTATGTATGGTATGCATGTATGTATGTATGTATGTATGTATACAGAGTCGTTCTCATTAACAAATTATGGTGGTATTAACGTTTTGTTGTTGTTGTTTGTGGAGAGGTCAGGGTGGTTGTTGGTGTATGCAAATGAGGGTAAACAAGTTTTCCATGGCCTTTATCCTTCCTCTTCTTCCTCTTCCTCCTCTTCTTCCTCTTCCTCCTCTTCTTCCTCTTCCTCTTCCTCTTCCTCTTCCCCTTCCTCTTCTTCCTCTTCCTCTTCCTCTTCATCCTTTTTCCCCCCTCCCTCCTTTTCTTCATTCTTTTCCTCCCCCTTCCTCCTCCCTCCTTCCCTTCTCTTCTTCCTCCTCCTTCTCTCCTCCTTCTCTCCTCCTTCCCTTCTCTTCCTCCTCCTCCTCCTCCTCGGTTACTGCCTCAGGGTTTATTATATATTAGAGACATTAATTTGTAGAAGCCACCAAGGTTAGGTTAGGTTTGGTTGGGTTAGGTTAGGTTAGGTTAGGTTAGGTTAGGTTAGGTTAGGTTAGGTTGGGTCAGGTTGGGTTAGGTTAGGTTGTGAGTGTTGTGATTTAAGTAATGTTGCCTAAATTTTTCACCTGAGTCCATATGTGCTTAAGTAAATATTCAGGCAGGTGAGTGTAGCTTTAATGTGTCCAAGAATTTATGATTCAACACGTGTGTAGTGAAGATATATACATACATACATACACACATACATACATACATACATACATACATACATTAAAAAACATATGGGATATTTACACCTCCTGAATGTGTCTTATCTTTAAAAAATAGATAAAACAAAAATAAATATCTTTTAAATCCTATGAAGTAAAGTTATCTCCCAGTTTGTCTCCTGAAAGTTTGTAAATTTCATCTCCTCAACTAATTAGGCAATCATCTCTAATTCCAGGTAGTGAAGAGGAGGGCAGAGTTACCAGGTCTCGCTACCACTCACCTGCGTTAAAGGTAAGTTGTTGTGGTTTTAGTGCCGTGGGTATAATGTGTTTTGGTGGGGAGGGGTGGGGGAGGGGAGGGGTGGGAGGGGAGTGAGATGCTGAGATAAATGTAGAGATGCTGGGAGTGAGGAAGAGATAATGAGAAATATGAAGAGATACTGAAATGTCGGTAGAGATACGAAGGATTACTGGAGAGAGAGAGAGAGAGAGGAGAGAGAGGGTGGAGAGAGAGAGAGAGAGAGAGAGAGAGAGAGAGAGAGAGAGAGAGAGAGAGAGAGAGGGACAGAGAGAGACCCATCCCTCTCCTCCCCTACCATCACCCCTCCTCTCCCCAACCCCTCACCCCGCTCCCCACCCCCCCTTGTCACCCCTTCTCAGCCCTGTGGTATCAAACGTTAAATTTGATTATTACACCAGTCCTAGGAATGAGTTTATCCTTCTACACTCCATTTGTGTGTGTGTGTGGGTGTGTGTGTGTGTCTGTGTGTGTGTGTGTGTGTGTGTGTGTGTGTGTCCAGTTCCATCCCGGGCTCGTACTATATAACAGATGGGGACAGGATGACTGGCAAATCTCTAGGGCCTCCCCCTTCTCTCCTGGTCCTTGGCTGGCTCACGTCGTTCTGTTGCTGGTCATGTCTGGTAGAGGCTGGACCAAAGCTGCCTCAGTTTCTCCTTGGACATGATAACTAAATTCTTACGTGTATTAATTATTTGTGTTGATTTTTTGGGTACCTATTTTATACGTTTATTATTATTATTATTATTGTGTGTGTGTGTGTGTGTGTGTGTGTGTGTGTGTGTGTGTGTGTGTGTGTATTATTATTGTGTGTGAACAGTCCATTATAAATTCCTTGTATTCAGTTATTATTAAACACAAAGAAGCCAAGAGCGTGGGGCGTCGGGTCACACCAGTCACAAGACGAAGCTTCCAAAGGTCAAGCTGACATTATAGGTAGAGGTCACTGTAGAATAGTTATACATTAAACGCCATATATTTCCGGGTGTGGCGGAGGTGTACCAGAGCTGTGTAGGGCGGGATGTGTATTGTGTGTTGGAGCTGTCTTCCCCCTACACCCCGAACACCCCCCTCCCCCTCTCTCTCTCTCTCCCCCCCTTCCCCTCCCCTCCCTCCCTTCCCCCTCTGACGAGCAGCCGTGACATATTTAGGCCAAACAGGAAATATATGTAGTTACTATCGGAGAAAACATGAGGGTTGTCAGTGGGGAATTATTTTATTATGCCCCTCACCATGTATGTACGGGGGGGAGGGAGGGAGGGAGGGGGGGGTATATATTGATCGCCAGTATGTTAGTCTGTCCATAGATCCATCCAACCACACACACACACACACACACACACACACTACCCCCCGGTGGATTACATGACGGCTGTAAATAACTCTCGACCTATTACACTAACAACACATCAATAAACCCGTCCTCAAACTTTTTAATTAAGTCATTATTTAAAGTGAGAGGCGGTGGTTATTATTGGGTATCTGTTGTCTGTTTAAATTCATTCACCGGGGGACTGTGTGTGTGTGTGACTGTGTGGGACTGTGTGTGTGTGTGTGTGTGTGTGTGTGTGTGTGTGTGTGGGACTGTGTGTGTGTGTGTGTGTGTGTGGGACTGTGTGGGGCTGTGTGTGTGTGTGTGTGTGTGTGGGACTGTGTGTGTGTATGTGTGGGACTGTGTGTGTGTGTGTGTGTGTGTGTGTGTGTGGGACTGTGTGTGTGTGTGTGTGTGGGACTGTGTGTGGGACTGTGTGTGTGTGTGTGTGTGTGGGACTGTGTGTGTGTGTGTGTGTGTGTGATAAATCCCTTCCGGATATGAAAACAAAACCCCACACATTATCTATTTGTCATTCATAAAAACCGGAAATTATCCTGACTAACGTAACTAAAAAAAATCCGGATTAATTTTCACATCAACTGAATATGAAAAATTAAAATGAAAAAAAAATTGTAAAAATTCTCAATATAAATACAAAAATGAATAACAATGGTTGAGTCAAGGAAAAAAAATAGTTAACATTTAAATTGGGTCAGTGACATATTCTTGGTATGTATGTATGTATGTATGTATGTATGTATGTATGTATGTATGTATGTATGTATGTAATAATCTATAATTGGGGTCACGCTAATACAAGGTGTCACACTAATCACAAAACACACCTTGATAGTCATCTCAACACACCTATAGTTCACCTGTCACCTTAATTATCTAAAACAGGTGAATCAAAACACTGTGATAATACCCAGATAATTAATTTATTTTTTTTTAAACTGATATAGAGTAATTTCACTCACGTATTTAGCTTAAGATTAAATTTCGTTTTGGCGCGAAAAAAAAAATGACATTAAATAAGTAAATGATTATGAAGTATTATCATTAACCTGATTACCTGTTGACGTTGTTATGTGAGATCTGATTAGCGCACCTGGGTATTGGTTACATGATTATCTCCCCCCCCCTCTCTCTCTCTCTCTGTCTCTAGTTCTCTCTTTTTTTGTTTTTCTCTGTCTGTCTATCTGTCTGTCTCTCTGTCTCTTGTATGGTGGCTGTAGTACCAGGCACCTGCAGCCACGCCCCGTGATATCATCCTGGGGCGTGGTGAGTCCCTCTCTCCCCTCCCCCCTCTCCCCTCCCCCCTCACCTAACCCCTTCTCCCTCCCCTCCCCTCCACTATCTGTCCTGGTAGACTTGTAAAAGGGAAGGGGTGAGGGGTGGGTAAGGGGGGAATGGTGGTCAGGTCTCTTAATTGTAGACCTCTGACACCACCTGTCTCACGGGAGGTAGTGTACCGTCACCACCTGTCTCACGGGAGGTAGTGTACCGTCACCGCCTGTCTCACGGGAGGTAGTGTACCGTCACCACCTGTCTCCACGGGAGGTAGTGTACCGTCACTGCCTGTCTCACGGGAGGTAGTGTACCGTCACCACCTGTCTCACGGGAGGTAGTGTACCGTCACCACCTGTCTCACTGGGGAGGTAGTGTACCGTCACCACCTGTCTCACGGGAGGTAGTGTACCGTCACCACCTGTCTCAGGAGGTAGTGTGTCACCACCTGTCTCACGGGAGGTAGTGTACCGTCACCACCTGTACGGGAGGTAGTACCGTCACCACCTGTCTCACCACCTGTCTCACGGAGGTAGTGTACCGTCACCACCTGTCTCACGCATTGATACGTGCCAGGAACCCAAAGTATATCCATAACACTCCTCCCTCCCCCTCCCTCTCGAACCCCTCAGCCAGACACACATCACGCCCACTCCGTCTGCTTCATCCCCCCTCTTTTTCGTCCCCACTCTTGTGTCTCTCCCCCTCCCCACTCCCCTTCCCCTTCCCCTCCACCATTACTCCAGCCCACAGCCCAGGTCCTCCCTCCTCCCTCACCCCTCCATTTTAGAACCCATGACCCCCTATCTCCTCCCACTCAATGCCTACACTTTGTTCCTGTCTCTTTCATTCTGTGCCCACTTCTCTCCTCTCTCTATCTCTTACTCTGTCTTTCTTTCTTTCTTTTTCTCTTTCTTTCTTTCTTTCTTTCTTTTTTCTTTCTTTTCTTTTCTCTCTCTCTCTCTCCAAGATTGCGACCTCCTCCTCCCTCCTTGCACTTCAACCCCTCCCCTCACTCCCCCCAGGTCAGATTTATTAACGTGTTTGCCATTTGTTCAGGATCAAGCGTGGACAAGAGGGAGGACACACACACACACACACACACACACACACACACACACACACACACACACACACATACATACACATATACACTCACACATACACTCACATATACACTCACGACACACTTTCCACACCGTTCTAAAGTGCTATTTAGTGCCGTGGCTTAAGTGCATCTGTCTGAAACTCTCCCATGCATCTTAGCTAACTGGGGGGGTAAGGGAGGGGTGGAGGGATAGAGGGAGGAGGGAGGAGGAAGGGGAGGAGGGGGAGGAGGGGGAGGAGGGGAGGAGGGGATTCTGGTCTAAATGGCTATACCGAAGAGGATTGTTAATTTATATGGCCACATATCCTCGAAGAATGGCCACACACACACACACACACACACACACACACACAGTCAGGGATAATGGCGTCATATAGTCCACTGATAACAAGCTTTGTACAGCCAGTTCAAAATGACTGGATAGGGTTTTAGCCACACAGTCACTTAAGATCACCAATACAGTCACTCGGATATCACCAACACAATCACGGCTAAATAAACAACACCACAAATTACCAATAACAAAAATCACAGATAAAAGAAAAAAATCTAACTTTTTTTACCGGATAAATAACCAAATATGGATAAACAGACAAATCACAGATGAATTAAATATAGATAGTTGATTTTTTTTTTTACATGTGCAGTCAAGAGATGAATAAATGGCGTCGTTTTTCACCATTATTTTTTTGCGACGCCATCATGAAGTAAAACCTTGCCTGGAGCGGAGTATTTTTTTTTTTCTCCCAAGAGCAGGAAGGTAACAGTAAAAAGTGGTGAGCCTGTACCTGTGTAGACCTGGTGTGGGGGAGGTGGGGGTGGGGGATGGGGGTGGGGGGGTGGGGGGTGGGGTGGGGTGGGGTGGGGTAGGGGTGTGGGTGGGGGGTGGTGAAGGTGGTAGGAACGGTGAAAAAAACCCTCATATGAAACAAGTGGAGTTATGTGAGATAGTGTGTGTGTGTTTGTGTGTGTGTGTGTGTGTGTGTGTGTGTGTGTGTGTGTGTGTGTGTGTGTGTGTGTAATGATCCTAGAACTCTCAGCCTCTGAGACTCTTGCTCCATTACCCAACATGTACGGCGGCAATGGGCCTTCAGGTGATACATACACACACAAACACACACACACACACACACACACTCTCTCTCTCTCTCTCTCTCTCTCTCTGTCACTGAAGACCATTCTTGTCTGAGAGTCTAACTTATCAAAAGTTCAGTTTGTAATCAGTGTAAACCTTGGACGCTAATTGTGTTCCTCGCAGGACTGTAGGGGGTGTGTGTGTGT